CTTCGAAAGGCAGCAGCGTAATTGATTTTTGCCAGCCAATCGTTCATGTCGTCTTCGGAATTGGCCAAAAACACCTCCTCCAACGCGTGATGGCGGACGAAAAGGAAAGCGTGTTTATGCTTTTTGTAGCCCGAATCCACCAACGCAACCGCATCATCCGTGGACATGATGCCATCGGGTTTGAACTCGGTGAGAGGTGGTTTGAATACAACCGCCCGTCGCCCCCCTTCCTTCTGATGAGACTCATATTGGGACATTAACGATTTGATCCAATTGGCGTCTCGAAAGAAGTACAACTGCGAGAAGGTAAGCAGCGCGCCCCATTCTTGCCACGGCGATCTGGCTCTCTTCTTCCTTGGGTCTTTTCGCCAGAGCAGACCAACTTTGGCCACTTTGATGTCTACCAGACCAGGGTTCGATTCGGCCGGATTCTGGATGCTAGCCGGCATGAACGCATCAGGTCGTGACCGGGCTGATATGATCTGCAGAATAGCTGTTTTCGAAAAGGCCTGATGCAGGCTGTTGATGTCAGGTGGCCCTGACGTCCCATGACATTGATATGTGTCCTCCAAGTTCATGACGTCCTTGAGGCTCGGCCGTAATGAGTCGAGCTTGCCGTCCATGATCAACGTGTATGGGTCCACCGGTTCCCTTGATACGCGCGACAAATGCTCTGAACTTTGGGTCTTGAACAAGGGCCGTCGAGGCTTTGCAAGCTGACGATTGTGAGAGGGTGTATCTTCGATATGGATAAAGGGCGTGTAAGCGATGTTCTCGTAAATGCATTCCAAAACGTCATCAGATACGCCTTCGCCACGAGTATTTCGAACATAATCCGACTTTTGCATCTTGCGCTTATTGTTCTTGTTAAAGACATCGGTGTGTAGAATCAAGATGGAAAATGCAATGAAATATGCTTGGTCTGTACAGAGAAAATCAGTATAAACGGCCCCACGATGCATAATGAGCTGAACATACCGGAAGAAGCAAAGATGCCAGGATTACATTCATGATATCGGTCGGCAAAACTTTGCAGGAAGCGATCAATCTGTTGGGTCTCTTTGGGCAACTCGGCACCCATCAAAAGCTTTCGAATGGCCATATCGATAGGGTCACCAAAGAAAATGAATCTCCGCATATACTTTCGCAATGCGGTCTTGTAGAAATCCTCATTCGACTGACAGAGTACGCCGGCGATCGTGCTCTTGGGTATGCTCTCTTCGAGTCGCGTCAGATACGTCGCTGGTGTGTCATTCTCCTCGCGTTCGGGGTAGGACAGTTTGCGAACAGGAGTATCCGAGCCTCTCACACCGGGAGAGCCATTTCGCATAACTGGGGGTTCCGAATTTTGCCTCAATCGGTGTGAGATGCTGAAGATGTCCCCGAAACTTTTGCGTCCACTGGTGGAAGTCGAAGTACGACCGGACGAGGCGAATTGAGCGGGTGACTGTTGCCCAGCATCGCGGAGATTAGCCAACGAGTCTAGTGTCGATGACCTTGGTCGCGGTTTGATTCGATGTCCACTTCGAGTGGACGTAGCTGACCGGGCGGAATTGGCGGAGTTCGCCGAGTCCTTTCTGCGCAGAGGAAAAGCCGGGGAGGCAAGACCGACAGTCGAACGACTGGGCGATGGAAGCGGAGAAACGCGGTCCTGATCCTTCTCATCCGGCGGCTCGAAGCTGGATGAGGGATCAGAACTCATGGCCCTGGATATCTGCGAGTCTTGTCCATGGCCATTCATGGGTTGACTGCCAGCCGGTCGAGGAGGCAAGGGAAATAGAGGACCCCGATTTCTCTTCAAACGTGGCATGCGAAAACGTTTACTTCCGCTTAAAGTTCCGTCGTTCGGGGAATGGGGGCGGTATAGTCCATGGTCTCCGGAACTCTGATCCGAACGGGATGACTCGGAAAAGCGAGCGTCGGTGACGGAAGAACGTTGGGACTCGTTGCCCGGCTCACGGCCACCACTGCGTATTGACGTAGTCGAGAGACGACCTGGCTCTTCCCCGCTCATCTTGGACGTTGACAATGTAGCATCGGTTGTCTGCGACCCGTTGGAGCCCTGGGCCCCATGGCGAGACCTGGTACCTGGACTCTGTCGCTGAGCATACATCTGTGATCCGTCGGACGAGCTCTTTTTCGATCCGGAGAGGATTTTGAACTTGGGTTTCTTCTTAATGGGTTGATCCAGTTCATTGCTAGTGGGTGCGGTGGTGATGATGGTGGGAGCTGAAAATAGGCGGCGGGGATCAAAAGTTAGCATACGTAGATCGACAATATGTATAAACTGTAGTAGCTCGGGTGTATACTCACGCGGTAAAGGAGGCACAGGAGGTGTTCCCTCCTCACCCTTGGCATAAGACCTTGATAATTGGGGATCCGACGCATGCCGGAGCTTCATGAAACTGAACCGGTTCCGGCGCCAGGTAGAAGCATCGTCCTGCACCAAGGCTGCGCCCACATTGCCCTTTCTTGAGCGAATAGTGTCCGCTGGCCCTTCCGACAAGTGTTTATTATCGTTGTCTCCGGCCTCATGATCGTCGTGGTCATTTTCGTCATCGTGGTCAGGTCCCGCTAAGAGAGGTGAACGAGGGGCGGACTCCGAGTGCCTGGATGTAAGGTTGGTTGCCGATGGAGTCGATCGAGGCAATTGTTCGCTATGACGAGAGAGTGCTTGAGGCTCGACAACACTGCGTCTCTTGGAGTCATTGCTATCGAGAGCGCCGAGTCGCAACCCTTTCCAATGCATGGCTGAAACAAGACGACGGGAGTCGGGTCCTTAGGTGATCCTGCTGCGCAACCGGTTGAAGCGACCCATCCGACAATAACTTTATAGATATCGAGCGATTTATCCACGGCGAATGATTGTACTTCGGACAGGAAGTTCAAGGGGCAACCCGAACTCTTGGAAGCCGTTCGGTAATGCACGATTTCGGAGGATATACGGCGTAGGGATCATGAAAAACGACCGATTGACATCGCGGACAATTCGTAGCAGAGCGAGGAATGAAGAAGAAATAAATTTGTCTAGCTTGAGAATCGAGCTATTTGGCGATAATCGAGGAGGTCGCAAAGGTTCGAAAAGGGGAAAGGGGGGAACAGAAAAGGCAGTCGATTGAGAAAGAGAACCCCGGATAGTCGACAAGCAGATAAAAGTTGGAGCTGGCAAATGCAACCCTTACATTGCCAGGCGTCTAGTAGGATGGAGTGAAAAGTGCGTAGATCATAAGCAGAGGAGCGGCCGAGGAGAACATTGGAGATGCCAAGGAAGGGAAAACAGATTGGCGAAAAAGGGAACCCCAAAGCGGAGAGGTTGGTTGGAACGTAGGAGAAAGGAGGGGCAAGGAGCTGGATAATACCTGCTAGATAATGGGAGCCTTGCGGGAAGAAATGACAAACGAAGAGATCTGAGCGTCTGTACCGGATAAAGAGGGAATCAATGAAGAAAAAGAAGAAGATGATGATGATGATGGGGAGATCTGAGATACCTCCTAGTCTATGGACTATGGACTACGGCCTATGGGTCTGGGTCTGGACTACGGAGTTGACAGTAAATGATGGATCTCTGACAGAACGCATAACACAACACGTGTGTTTAGAAAGTGGATATTAATTCGTCGATCTTTGATCATGATCAGGTCAATTTAATTGCTATAGATTAAGAGAACCATCTTGTCCGTGGGTCCGATAAATTGGGATTGTAACCCTACCCGTATCTACCTTGAGATGAGTTTACATACCTTAGATCGGTGGCTGTATAGTCCCTGTACCTTAGCGGAAGACGCCATTCTCAATAACAAAATACATAACCTCTAGGTTCTTATACTTCTGATTTCCACATGTTCCAATCTCTGAAATCCGGTTCTCTGCCCTGGTTCGAGAGTCATAACCAATAGAAGCCTTGTGTGTACACAGCTCTGTGAACTGTTTCGTCATCTGGATTTACGCTCATTGATGCGTTGAGAATCGTCAATTATCATCTTCCAGAATTTCCATTCGAGCTAACAATGATGCCAGGACCCTCTTTCATCCAAGAAAACCGAAGAAAGAGGCGTCTTACCGACTTCATCATCATGACCACTTACACGCGGCTGCTTTACGCACTGCGTCATTTATACGCGTATCTCCCGCTGCCTTTGTATGTCACGTGATACAGGCCAGAATTGTTCTGCCTGGAGGGACTACGGACTAGTCACGGAGTAAACGACGGTCCAGATTTGGACTCAGCTTCTCTGTGGAAGGCATTCGGCAACTAGTCCACAAAAAGTCTCTATCAATCTAGACAAGATGGATCCTTTGGGTCGACATGACCAAAGACATTGAGCGAATGCCTATTTACGGCAAGGAATACCGCAAAGCCGCTCTCTTGCTCACAAGGGACTAAAAGGGACTAAACTAGTGGGACTGTGGAGGCTGTGGGTGTGGGGTAGATTTCTGGTGCCTAAGGCAGAAGCAGCTGTCAACTGTCAGCTTTATCTATCGACCTCTTAGAGATCAGCTTGCCTCCCACGGCAGTGCAAAGGACAGGGAAGAATTGCTTGTACAAGTATGCGAACAAACTCAGGAGGATTTCAGGTAATATGTCCATTGCAGGTGATCAATTGCTTCCGCCGTCACCCCAGGGAACAGCCTACCAGAGGTAGCCTCTTCAGAAAAGAGCCGCCAGATTCTAGTAGATACACAATTGCAGATTGACCACATCTACCATACTCAAAGTATTCGGGCGATCATACAGGATTTTCTAAGGCTGACTCGGAACTTACCTCCGCAGGCTCCGTATGTCCTGATATTGCCCAAACCAGGCAAATACAATACACCATTCCTAATCAGGCAAGATGGCTAAGATCTGAATTTTCTCTGCCTGAGGCATCAACAAGGCGTCCACCATTCGCCCAATATCGGCACTCCTCCATCCTGATCCGTCTTCATTACACCTCTAGTGTTCGAGCGATCCGACAGAAACAATGACAGCATAGTTGTCGCCATATCCTTCTATAGACATGCGTCTCCTGCTCTCTGTTCTCCTCCTCCTGGTCGCCTCGCTGGGTCTGGTATCCGCCGTCCCCGCAGGCTCCAGTATCACACCTCCGCCGCCCGTTGAACCTATCCAGTTGTTATCATCACGATCTGCTACTGACTCCAGACGACCATGGATTCGAGTCCGAGATTGGGTCATCGAGTCCATCTGGGGCATCTCCAAAGATTCCTCCCATCATTGCTCCGTTAAAGATTCCCCGCGCAGCCGCTCTCCTTCCCGATCGCTTACTCGCTATGGCAGCGATGTCGTCGTTCGTTTCCATCTGCGCAATGCCGAAGAGGCAGAGGCATTGGCGGAAGCAGCTGATGTCCTCTTTCTGGACGTCTGGACTTCCACATCTGAATTTGTGGATATCCGATTAGCTCAGGAAGTTGTACGTATATGCCCACTCCTGCCAGCGCTTGTCCCCGCGCTCATTATTGATTGTTTGACTGATAGATACCCTCACTACTGGGCCTGTTGCCTGATTCGCTTCGGACCGCCTACACCCCCCTTATTGATAACCTGGCTGAAATAATTTACGCAACTTACCCGACTCGACGACCTGTTGGATTTGAGGACCAGCCTGGATTCATCCCGTCGGTGCGCCAGTCAACTCAGTTTGGAGATCTGTTTTTCCGCGACTATCAGCCTCTGTCGGTTATCGTCCCCTGGATGCGGCTGATGGCTTCGATGTTCTCATCTCACGTCCAGATGATCAATGTCGGGGTGTCCTACGAAGGGCGGGAAATCCCGGCCCTTCGACTCGGGACCCGCGGCCAGACGGCCGAGCCCTACCCTCGCAAGACCATCGTCGTCGTCGGTGGCAGCCATGCACGAGAATGGATCAGTACCTCAACCGTAACCTATGTCGCGTATAGCCTCATCACCCGATATGGCAAATCGCAGGAAGTGACCCGCCTCCTAGAAGACTTCGACTGGGTCTTTGTGCCCACGCTGAACCCAGACGGCTACGTCTACACCTGGGAATCCGATCGCCTCTGGCGCAAGAACCGCCAGCCCACGAGCCTGCATTTCTGCCCAGGCATCGACCTCGACCGCGCCTGGGAATTCCAATGGGACGGCGAGCGCACACGGTCGAACCCCTGCTCGGAGAACTACGCCGGCACCGAGCCCTTCGAAGGCATAGAAGCCCACCAACTGGCGCAGTGGGCCCTCAACGAGACACAAACCAACAACGCCAAGATCGTCGGCTTCCTCGACCTCCACTCCTACTCCCAACAGATCCTCTACCCCTTCTCATTTTCCTGCTCGTCCATCCCGCCCACGCTCGAGAGCCTTGAAGAGCTAGGCATGGGTCTCGCAAAAGTCATCCGCCTGACCACCCACGAAATCTACGACGTCACCTCCGCCTGCGAAGGCACCATCACCGCTGACTCGGACGACCAGAGCCGGAGCCGTAACAGCCCACCCAAGAAACCCCTTTTTCCCACCGGCGGCAGCTCAGGCGGCAGCGCCCTGGACTGGTTCTACCACCAGCTGCACACGGACTACGCCTACCAGATCAAACTGCGCGACCGCGGGAGCTACGGCTTCCTCCTGCCGTCCGAGTACATCGTGCCGACCGGCAAGGAGATCTTCAATGTCGTTCTGACGTTTGGGAAGTTCCTCGTCGGGGATCTTGCACATAACGTAAATCTCGACTGGGACGCGGAGCTGCAGCGCACGGAGCCTGAAGATGCTCCTGTATCCCAAGGCGAGGAGCCAGCGTCAGCCACGCAGCAAGTCCTGCAAGCGGGTGTCGATGATGAGGAAACGGAGTGGGTTGAGGAAGCACGAACCGAGTTTCGACGGCGATAATTTTTTTTTTCCTTCTGTCTGTTTCTGCCGTGTAAAATTCTACCTTACGTATATTTTATACCTCGCATTGTCGTTATGTACCAACGACGGTAATGAATCATGATTATTGTAACTTGTCATACGGCATTACCCCGGGCACAATTCCATTGACAGATCCATGTAATTCATCGATGGTTATGTTATGTACATGTCGGCGAGTCATGATTTCATAATAGCATTGTGAGCCAGGACCGCCCTAGCTCGTATCACATCCAAAAAGCATATTCGCAAAAAGAAAAATAAATAACGGAGACACCGGAGTCTAGAACAACCACGCCACAAACGTCTGATAGAACCAGTTCCCACGCTTGTGGGTTGTTTCTTCCATCGCCTTGCGAGCCAGGTACTCCGCCTCCTCGCGGTCGATCTCGTCCTTGCCTGACCACAGATCCGCCTCCTCGGGCTTGACGCCCTTGCAGCGAGTGAAGAGCTTGTACCCGAAGATGAGGCACAGGTAGACGGGGATACCCAGGTACGCGGTGATGAAGCCCTTGTAGTTGAAGTCGCCATAGGTGGCACTATGGACGAAGACGTCGTAGCTCTTTGTGAGGGCAATGAGGCAGCAGAAGACGAGGGCGAAGTAGGAGCCTGCGGCGCCGAAGGGGGCTTTGTAGACGAGGTCGGACTCAGGGACGTGCTGGGCTTTGCGGGCGCGAATGAAGTAGATGTGAGTGATGAGCAGGGAGATCCAGGTGAGGAGGCCAAAGATGGTGACCAGATCCACAAAGTATTTGAAGACGGTCTTGGAGTCACTGGAGACGTTCATGTAGGCCAGGCAGGCGAAGCAGGCGGAGATGGCGAGGGCGTAGATGGGGACACCGCGGCGGTCGGTGCGGGCGAAGATGGCGGGCGCTTTGCCCTCGCGCGCGAGACCGTAAATAGTCCGAGTGGCGATGTACAGATCCGAGTTAGCGGCGGAGAAGACGAAGAGGAGGATGCAGCCGTTGAGAATGTGGGGAAGGATGCGAATGCCGGCCAGCTCGATGGCGACGACGAAGGGGGAGGCAGCTGCGGAGCTAGCCTTCTTGGTCGCGAAGACCAGGCTTTTGGAGTCGTAAGGGACCAGGGTGCCGACGAGCAGAACGCTGATCACATAAAAGAAGAGAATCCGGTAGAAGGTGAGCTTGATGGCGCGCGGGATCGTCTTGCGTGGGTTCTCGGCCTCGCCGACAGTCACGCCGACCAGTTCGGTACCCAGGTAAGCGAACGTGGCCGACACCATGGTCGCCCAGAAGGCATAGAAACGACCCGCGGCCGAATCCTCGATATACCAGTTGAACGCACCGGGCTCCTTCCAGTACCGGAAGCCCTTGCGGTCATGATCGGGGCCGCCGCCCAGCATCAGAATGAAGGAGAGCAAAATCAGGCCGACGATGACGACCACTTTGAAGGAGGACAGCCAGAACTCGAATTCACCGAAGAACCGGATACCAAAGTAGTTGATGGAGATAATCAACACCAGGAAGACTGTGATCCACACGCCTGCATTCACTCGTGCGGTATCGATCCAGAATGATATGACCAGCGCGCCGGCCGTTAACTGGTTCGGTGTGACAATAATATACTTGAACCAATACCTGTAGTGGTCATGGTGTCAGCGCCGCAGTCTTGACGGTAAACAATGATAGATTGACATACGTCCAACCAATGGCGAATCCAAGAGCAGGGTCACAGAAACGGACAGCATAACCAGTGAAACCGGAGGGCATGGGCAACCAGGTGGCCATTTCTCCAAGACCACACATGACCAGATAGACGATGAAACCGACGAAAGAGTAAGAGATGAGGATAGAACCGGGCTGTGACAGTTAGTTAGTTGTTGTTGATGTAAAATTTCACGTATATGAGGACAACGTACGCCAGCCCTGAAGAATCATGTCAGCCTATGTCACGCCAAAAATGATTTCGAGGAAGAAAGACTTACTTTGCAAGAGCACCTCCAGTTCCGATGATGAGACCAGTACCAATAGCACCACCAATGGCTGTGAATGTCAGCTTGAGTACAGATTATTTACACGTTGCCATAGTCGGCCTACCAATCATGGTGATGTGACGCGACTTGAGACCCCGATGAAGGTCGACATGGTGTTGAGACTCCATCACACCCTCCTCAGCCGCTTTGACATCGTTGGACATTTCATGCTTGACAGGCATCTCCGAAGAGACGCCTTCTTCTCTGTACCCCATCCCCGTGTGTGTTCTATGGGTGAAATTGAGGCCGATGAACTGTGGTTGGGGGGAAGTTCACTGATTCTTCAGAAAGATTGTGGGGAAGAAAGAACGCAGTGAATGCGATTACGATGGAAGATGCGATGAAGAAGGAGAAAGAGAAGAAAAAGATGCAGACGGAGAAGAGAGAAGAGAAGGGGATGAGAAGGAGGAGGAAAAGAGGAAAGTGGCAGGTGAATAGAAGCTACCCAAGAAAAAAAGAAGATGCCGTCCTCGACTTCTGGAAAGCAACCCCAGAAAAGATAAGCGACAACGGGGGGGACCAATGAATGATTATATATCTTATTAAATGACAGGATGAGAATGACCGATGATAGGTCAGTATCTCTTGAAGTAGATTAGTGAATTAGTAAATTAGTTAGTAGTTACCGAGAGAGACATCTCGCGTGGAGAATCCCCTCACGTCCTGGACGATGATAGCCATGCTGCCCGTGTACACCATTCAGCCTAGCGTTTCCAGCCTAATTGCCACACAATCCAATCAGCAGCAAGAAGGAAAGGCCGGGAAAGACGATCTCGTCGTTTTCTGTCTGGTTCTCTGGTCTTGTCTGCGCCTCCTGGGGCAAGGAAAAGACCCGTCAGCAAGCCCAGGAACAAGCGGACTGGCTTGGCAAAAGCGCCCAGACACGAGGCGCCCTTAGATCCAAGCTGCTCATCACCTGGGGAAGACGTTTTTTCAGGTCTCCAGTGATTAGGCTCAACACTATTTGGTTCGTATTAGTCAAGGCATCTTTCGAATCGGTAACAATCGCCGTCTGCTGATTCCATCGAGGCGTTCTGAGGTTACATTGCCAGCCTGAGCACGACACCCTGCACACGGACATACGGAATGATTATAAGAATCCCACTCGACCACAGATTCCCCAAGAAAAGAGAAAATCAGTGTCATATGATGACTGTCAAATCATCAGTAATAAAAACCACCTTTGTGCTCAGTGTGTCCTGGGTATCGTCTCCAGACGCCGAAGCAAAGCGAACATGGAACAAGCCCCGCTCTGCCTGAGGCCCACTCTTGGCGGCCTTGGCTTTATTGCCCTGATAAGCCAGTGATAAGCCACGTGAGTTCTGAGTTGCGAGACATTGTGCCCAAGCTTTGCGGGATTTTAGAGAACTCGGGGGCCAAGTGAGAGATTATTTAGAGAAAAAAGAACCTTAAGTTGAAGGTTTCAGCAGTAGTTCCGTGCGGAGAAGTGATCCTGCCCGAGGTTATTATGCAACTATTCCGATATCTTCCATCAGGTGTCTGGACGCTGGATTGCCTGGATGCCTTATGTAGAAGGCAGTGAACAAGTCAGTGCCAAGATTGCTTATCGAAGTGTTATCTGCGTGCCATTTTGTCCAATCAAACACTGTGGTTTACTCAACCTTATCACAGGCTGTTGGCTGTACCGTATGTGAGTCTCCCTGCTGAGATTTGGGCCAGAAGCAGAGCCACATACGGATGCCATACTGTCCCAACTCCAATTCCCGTCCGTATTCTAGAAGACTACCTATTTTCTCCGGAGTACCTTCGGTCCCTTGCCAGCCACAGGCTCGGCACCCTTGGCACATAGCGGAATATTTCTCTACGGGCACAAATGATATCTTGCCCAGAAACTCTCCTGCTCCTGTCTTGCGCCCTCGAGCCTGTGCATCCAAGCACCTATCGGAGTATTCACGGTGAAATCAGCATGCAGTCCTCAACATCCAAGTTCAGAATTCGATATCTCGCCTAGATCGCGGACAGTGCACCCTGATCAGGGACAGTGGATACAGCTCAGCAATTCCGTACGTAACGCAATGTCACTCAATGCCGACTTTTAGGTAATAAAAATTCCCCAGACTCTTGAAGCGGGGAAACTTATCTTGACTGTTGGATATCGAAATGATTAATACTCTCTGCCACAACTCTAGGGACGGGATGTCCGTTCGAAAATTTTTCTCGTCATCCGAGTCCTCCGTGGTTGTGTCCGTGGTAGAACTCGGTGGTCGTATGGACGGTACGGTTCCTGGCCAGGCCGCCAGGGAGCCGTGTGTGGCTGACAGCAGGAGAAAAATTCTTGCTATCCAAACGGTCTCGTCTCGGCTGAGCTTCGGTGTAGATAGGGGCTTGCGGAACATTGACTGATCCTTACGGACTGTGTACACACTACGGAGTACACCCTCGACAGATATGCTGATGGTGGATCAATGATGCTGGAGGTCTTATCATTTCCCAACAACGATCAGGCTCAAGGCAGTTCCTATCTAGTTCGTCATCTTGTATTACAGGCATTACTGAGAGTAGACTCCACTAGGGGGAGCCAGCTGTAGAAGAGGTTCACCATGGTTAGAAGTTGTCTGATTATGTATGCTTCAAGGAGTCGTTGAACTCGACATCCAGGTCTTTGAGGTGATTTCATGTTGGTAGATGAGAATGCTAGTTGCTCAGCACCAACATAGCGATAGCATCTGACCCCGCGAGTTGCCAGTTGACACTTGATAAGAACGAGAACTTGCCAGTTGCCATCACAGCCAACAGGACAATTATGACCAGGCTTCATCTCATCAACTACATCCCAATCCCATCCCACCAACATCCAACCCAACAATGAAGCCACCTGCACAGATCCAATAGTCCCTTTGAAGGCGGTAATTCACAAGCAAGGAAGCACTCGTCGTTGACACACAGTGCCACATGGACAAGCCATCACCAGCAATGGCGTACGCCAGCGGCCATCCTCCTCTCAGACCAACACCTCTACCGCTCGAAA